AATTAGGCCAGGCGCGGTGGCTCACGCCTGTAATCCCAGCACTTTGGGAGGCCAAGGGGGTGCAGATCATGAGGTCAAGAGATTGAGATCACTCTGACTAACACGGTGAAACCCCATCTCCACTAAAAATACAAAAAACTAGCTGGGCATGGTGGCACGTGCCTGTATTCCCCGCTACTCGGGAGGCTGAGGCAGGAGAATCACTTGAACCCAGGAGGCAGAGGTTGCAGTGAGCCGAGATCACACCACTGCACTCCAGCCTGGGCGACAGAGCAAGACTCCATCTCAAAAAAAAAAAAAAAAAAAAGAAGGAAAGAAAAGAAACAGAATCAGAATTATCGACCACAGTCCTCATGATGCTAACACAGAGCTCCCGTCTGACCCAGCTGTTCACTTCTCGGTATTTATCCACAAGAAAGAAAAACACACATCCACATAAAGACTGGTCCACGGTGGTGATGGGGGTACAACAGTGTGAATCCACGTGATACCACAGAGTTACGCACTCAGAAATGGTTAACTTGGTACATTTTATGGTATGAGAATTTCACCACAATGAAAAACTTGTACATGAATGTTCAAGCAGCATTATTCGTATAGTTAAAAAGTATTAAGAACTCAAATGTCAGTTAGATAACAGGTGGATATAAAAAACATACTATATCCAAACAAAGGAATATTATTCAGCCATAACATAGAATGAACATTTGTAGGGTCCAGCCCCACAGGGTCAGTGGGCTTTTCTCCCTGTGTGCAGAGACGAGAGATTGTAGAAATAAAGACACAAGACAAAGAGATAAAAGAGAAGACGCGGAGACCGGTAGTGGCCCCGAATGCCTGGCTGCGCTGTTATTTATTGGATACAAAGCAAAAGGGCAGCATAAGGAGTGTGAGCCATCTCCAATGATTGACAAGGTCGCGTGAGTCACGTGTCCATTGGACAAGGGGCCCTTCCCTGTTTGGCCACCGAGGCGGAGAGACAGAGGGAGAGAGAGGACACAGCCTACGCCATTATTTCTTCATATCAGAGGTTTTTAGTACTTCACTAACTTTGCTACTGCTATCTAGAAGGCAGAGCCAGGTGTACAGGATGGAACATGAAGGCGGACCAGGAGTGTGACCACTGAAGCACAGCATCTCAGGGAGACGGTCAGGCCTCCGGATAACTGCGGTGGGCCTGACAACCACGAGAGGTGGAGGAGCAGAGTCTTCTCTGAACTCCTCCAGGGGAAGGGGGACTCCCTTTCCGGGTCTGCTGAGTAGAGGGTGTTTTCCTTGACACTGACGCTACCGCTAGACCACGGTCCGCTTGGCAATGGGCGTCTTCCCTGACACTGGCGTTACCGCTAGACCAGGGAGCCCTCTGGTGGCCCTGCCCGGGCATCACAGAAGGCTCACACTCCTGTCTTCTGGTCGCTTCTCACTATGTCCCCTCAGCCCCTATCTCTATATGGCCTGGTTTTTCCTAGGTTATGATTGTAGAGTGAGGATTATTATGATATTGGAATAAAGAGTAATTGCTACAAACTAATGATTAATGACATTCATATATAATTCTATGATCTATATCTAGTATAACTATTCTTATTTTATATGTTTTATTACACTGGAACAGCTCGTGCCCTCGGTCTCTTGCCTCGGCAGCTGGGTGGCTTGCCGCCCAGAAACATCGATTCATCCTGTAGCACAGATGAACCTTGAAAACACGATGCTTGTGAAAGAACTGGACAAAAAGGCCACACTCTGTGTGATTCCATTCATACCAACGTCCAAACTAGGCCAGTCTGCACAGAGAGAATGAATTACTGGTTGCCAGAGGCTGGGGAGGTTGGGGGAGATGGGGAGTGAGTGCTAATGGGTACAGGGTTTCTTTTTGGGGTGATGAAAGTATTCTAACATGGATTGTGGTAATAGTTGTGTAACTTTGTGAATATGCTGGAAACCATTGAATTGAATACTTTTAAATGGGTAAGTTGTATGATAAGTGAATTATATATCATAATTGTTAAAAATATATATGATACTGGCTGGGCACGGTGGGTCACGCCTGTAATCCCAGCACTTTGGGAGGCTGAGACAGGCGGATCACGAGGTCAGGAGATCGAGACCATCCTGGCCAGCATAGTGAAACCCCATCTCTACTAAAAACACAAAAAAATTAGCCGGGCGTGGTGGCGGACGCCTATAGTCCCAGCTACTAGGGAGGCTGAGGCAGGAGAATGGCGTGAGCCCAGGAGGCAGAGCTTGCAGTGAGCTGAGATCGGGCCACTGTACTCCAGAGCCTGGGTGACAGAGCGAGACTCCGTCTCAAGAAATATATGTATATCCATATATATATTTTTAAATTATTTTAATTAGACATAGAAGAACATGAATAGACTACAAATATATATACATATGTTTTATATATATATAAAACAAGGTGTTAATGATTTTCTACTAGTAGACTAGTAGATTTGTAGTAAGTTTTTTCTACTATATATACTTTTCTGTAATTTGGGAAAACCTCCCTTTCAATTTTAATAACCAGGGAAAATTTATATTTAAAATATCAAAGAAAGAAAATTAGTTGCAATGTAATAAACTCTGCTTTCTTATTAGGCTTTATTCAGAATTAACCTTGATCATTCCTAGAGGAAAGAACTCTTTCCCTCATAATATTTCACAGGTAATTCGACTTGAGTAAAGCAGGAAACACCCACCCTCACACCAAAGAAGGGTGATGGCACTGCCCACCCATCAGACTGGGCACCATTAGAAGCTGGGTGGGGCCCAGGTTGGGAAGTGGGGCGCCTTGGGTGTCATTGTTGGGATGGGAATTGGAGCAACCTCCTGGCAGCCCACCAGACAGCACCTGTCACAGTGGGAGGTGCCTGTCTCCCTTAGTGAGCACCCACTGCCACCATCAATAGACCCACAGGCCCCTTGGCCACCACAGTGCACAAGAACCAGGATGGCCGTGGAGTCCGTGTGAGAACCGGGACAGCCCTTGCATCTGGCTGAGCAAATTCTGGTGCACCCCGTGAGGGAGCCCTTCCTCACCTGTCAGCGAATCAGATATGCTGATGGGAAGCTTGTCCAAACACGCTGAGAGGAGGCAGCCAGAACAGTCATGGACACGGTGCGCCCCATACGTGCAGATCAAGAGCAGCACACACGTGTGGACCTGCAGGTGGCATGGCGGTGAGCCGGAATCCTGAGAAACTTGTGACGGTGATCATCTTTCAAAGAGGTCAGAGTTGAGTGCACTGTGGCTTCTGATTGGCGTCTTTCTGAGCCCTCATCACTGCATTTCATGGACACTGTGGGAGTCTTTGGGGAATGAGACCTAAATCCAAACCCTGGGGACAGTGGCTGTGGAGAGCTTGTGTGGCTGTTAGGGGCTTGGCCCTGGAGCCAGACACCTGGGTCGTCCCCAGTTCTGCTCTGGGCGTGTGGCCTGGAGCAGATCACCTGGTCTCTGCCCCGTTCTCATCTGTGACGTGGCAGTGGGGGTCGGACAGTTCTCAGCGGGCTGCCATAACAGGTGGCACACAGTGCTCTAGGGGCCCAGGATGCAAGGGTGAGCTCAGCAGAGGACGTTCCCCATGTGGGGAGCTGCTCTTGTGTTTCGGAGAGAGAATGAGTGAGTGATGAACCAATGAGTGGTAGACAAGACGTCTGCAGCAGGGAACCACCCTGCGAATGATTCAGACGGGGCAGTGAGCTGGTGAGCAACAGTGAGTTCCAGACTGGCGCAGGCTCTGCCTTGGAGACGGGGCTGGAATTTGAGGAACGCAGCTGAGCCTGTGGAGAGAAGAGTCTAGGGTAGGGACCTTCCAGGCAGCGGGCTCTGCGGCTTGTGTGGGTGGGCTGCTCGGTGGCCTGGGGCAGTGGAAGGGCATGGCAGGGCAGAGAAGCCTGGGTTCCATCCCAGCGTCCAGGAGCTGATGGAGGATCCTGATGAGCTGTCTGGGCCTCTGTGTGGAGAGCAGATGGGTCAGGAGGAGGCCACTGGAGCTGCAGGGGAAGGGGTGGCGTTCCAGACAGGGACCACGGTGCTGGGCCCAGGGCCAGATGTGGGCCCGGCAGTGTGACGAAGCTGTCAGGAGTGCAGCAGGCCTGGACTGCTTGTCTGTGAGTCCGTCTCCGTTCCTGCCAGGGCTGCAGAAAGGGGCCTCCTTCCGAGTCACAGACGTGGGCGCAGCGGGCTCTGAAGGACGCTGCCTCACATTTGCTTCTGTGGCTGCTGTTGATCCCTTCATTCCATCCCTCTGCTTCAAGCTGAGCTCTGCTCTGATTCCCCCAAGGAATCGTGGCAGTTTGAGATTTGAGTTTCCGGCACTTCTGCTTTAAGCCAGGCTGCAGAGGCTGACACCCTTGGGAATCATAGGTTTCTTCCACCGAGGAAACTTTCACCAGAATTGTGGCCTGAGTGGTGGAAGGCTAAGGTTAAATACAGGTATATTTGTAAAGACCTCAGATAGTGGAAGTCCGTTGGCTGAGATGGTGATCTATTCTGATATCCGGGTGGTATATTATAAACAGAACATAGCAAAGAATTACTTTCTACAGACACAGACTTCAGTGGCTGTATCAGGAGTGCCTTAATGATGGTCGCTAGAGTTCGTCCATCAGGAGACTGCGGTGGGGCACGGAGAGCAACCACTGCCTGACGGAGACTTTCGCGTGCGGCTGAGGCCTGACGAGGAATTTTATCATCAGGCATCAGCTGAGATAGGAACGCCGTCAGTCGAGAATTTTCACATCCTAGAATACGTATTCACCCCAAAGTATTGACTGCAAACCAATCCAGTTTCTACCTTTGGCTCAACATAACTTAATTTCTGAGATGAGTATGATTCATAGGGTGTTTTTGTATTTGAAAATAAAGATGTGTGTGATTCAGGTAATTTATTTTGTAGCATGTTAAAGAAAAAAAGTGAAAGGTTATTTCATTGAGTTTTAGAGAACTGTGTTTTGGAAGTGAAATCACATGTCGCTTCTTTTTTCTTTCCTAGCATTGTCATGGAAGTTCTGCGAATCCTGGTTTTGATTGGTCAGATTCTTTTTTCGCTAGCGGCGGTTTTTCTTTTATGTCTTGTTATAAAGAAGTATCTCATTGGACCCTATTATCGGAAGCTGCACGTGGAAAGCAAGGGGAACAAAGAAATCCTGATCTTGGGAATATCTGCCTTTATCTTCTTAATGTTAACGGTAATTCTCAAACTGTGTTATTTATGAAATCTGATATCTCTTTCACTGAAATCTTGTGATCCATTCTTTACCTTTTCATTTTAATAATGGTTAAAATATTTGAAACATTTACTAGTATTTTTTATTTTATACACACTTTCTTATACTACCCATCAATATGTAATACAATGAGCTAAACCCGTTTAACTGGCTTGACTCATACTCTTAAGCACTTTGCTAAAATACTGTTTGTGAGTATTACATTAAATCTGTGGGCCAGGTGTAGTGACTGACACCTGTAATCCTAGCATTTGGGGAAGCCAAGGCAGGAGAATCGCTTGAGCTCAGAAGTTTGAGAACAGCCAGGACAACATAGTGAGAACCCCTCCTCTACAAAAAATAGAAAAATTAGCCGGGCATGGTTGTGCTCACTTATAGTACCAGCTGCTGGAGAGACTGAGCTGGGAGGATGGCTTGAGCCCAGGAGGTCAAGGCTGCGGGGAGCTGTGATCGCACCACTGCCCTCCAGCCTGGGTGATAGAGCAAGACCCCATATCAAAACAAAAAAACTGTGATCATAAAAAGCGCCATAAACACTAATATCAAACCATGCTACTCTGTCTTAAATTTTCAAATAGCTTTCAACCTGAAATACAAAATTAAGTTTAGAAAAGCAGTTTTTAACTCTGTGTTGCTCACATGCTAATTAACTGTATGACTTATGCCATGTGGAAGGTTAAATAAATAAAGTTCATTTTGGAAAGTGGGCTTCTCCTTACTGAGATGACAGTCTTTACATGAGAGTGGCAGGAAATGCTCCTGGACCCCCATAGAGAGCCTCAGTGGTCCTGACAGCGCGCCTGGGCACCGTCACCGTTCAGCCCAGCAGGTGCACTTCCTGCTGTTTATCCCACAGAAACAAAGCCGTGTTCACACAGTAGTAGCCTGTACACAGGTGTTTATAGCAGCTTTATTCATATTAGCCATATAAACAGTCCAAAGGTACTTTAGTGGGTAAATAAATGTTCAACAAACTGAGCTATGTCCACACCACAGAATGCCACTCAGCAGTAAAACCACCAGCACACACCTCCTGAGAACTGTGCAGAGTGGGCAGGCAGCCCCCAAAGGCTGTATACTGTGTGGTTCTTTTTGTGTCACATTTATGAGGTGAGAAGATTACGAAATTGAGGAAAGGCTCGTGGTTCCCAGGAACTGAGGAAGAGTGGTCTGGGGAGGGGCTGGGGATGGCATTCGCTGTCTTCGCTGTATCCGTATCAGCACCTGAGTGGGGTCTTGTGCTGAAATTTGGCAAGATGTTACCATTGGGGAAACTAAAGGGTAATGAGGACTTTGTATTATTTCTTAAAACTGCAGGTTAGTACATAATTATCTCAAAATAAAAAGCTTCCGGCCGGGCGCAGTGGCTCACACCTATAATCTTTGCACTTTGGGAGGCTGAGGCAGGCAGATCATGAGGTCAGGAGTTTTAAGACCAGCCTGGCCAACATGGTGAAACCCCGTCTCTACTAAAAATACAAAAATTAGCTGGGCGTGGTGGCACACGCCTGTAATCCCAGCTACTCAGGAGGCTGAAGCAGGAGAATTGCTTGAACCCAGGAGGCAGAGGTTGCAGTGAACTGAGATCGCACCACTGCACTCCAGCCTGGGCAACAGAGCAACAAGACTCCGTCTCAGGGGGAAAAAAAAAAAAAAAAAAGTTTCCACCGGGCGCAGTAGCTCACACCTGTAATCTCAGCACTTTGTGGGGCCGAGGTGGGTAGATCTTCTGAGGTCAGGAGTTCGAGATCAGCTTGGCCAACATGGTGAAACCCTGTCTCTACTAAGAATACAAAAATTACCTGGGCGTGTTGGCACACGCCTGCAGTCCCAGATACTTGGGAGGCTGAGGCAAGAGAATCACTTGAACCCAGGAGGCAAAGGCAGAGGTGATAGAGCAAGACTCTGTCTCAAAAAAAAAAAAGTTTCCATTTTAAAAAAGTAAATTAACAAAAATTGTTTCTTATATATAATTTAATTGCCTGCTACTATTTTGTAAACTTGGGAGAAAATTATGATTTGCCTCTGGCTGTAGTGATTTTAACTATTTCAGGAGTGTGACTTATTTAAGTTTTTACATTGCTTTATCCATTCCAGAGTATTTTTCTCTTTGAAAATAACTCCCAGTGAAATTGTCTTATCTGGACAACTTCGGTGTTGCCCTCCCAGTGGCTTCTTCCATTATAGTGACTCTCTCCCCGGCTCTCGGGTTTTCTCGCTCACTGGGCAGCACTCACCTTGCACCTGCTGCCAGTCGCTTGGGGTGCTGGGCCTTCTGCGCGTCTGCACCAGGTGCCACAATGGATTCTTTCCACTGTTCAGTCTTAGGATTTGTTTCCATTTAGAGCTGTTACGAATAGAGCCGCTGTCCATTCTCGTGTGTTTGGAAGGTGCTGACTGTTGATGAGCCTCGTGCGGTGCCTGTGGAGGTGGGTTGCAGGGATCACAGTAAACAGGAGCTCAGCCTTAGTCATGACGTGGGTTTCCCCACAGTCGCCATGCCAGTGCCAGCCTGTCTTGCCACTGTGCCATGAGCATGCCGTGCCCCACAGCCTCTCTGCACTTGCTGCGGGTGTGGAGCTTCTCAGGGCTCTGACGGGGGCTCGGACAGGAGCTCCAGTGTCCACTTCCTGATGGCTGGTCTCTCGAGCCCTTCCGGAGGCTCAGCCCATCCTGCTGCTGTGCTGTGAGCACGCCGTGCCCCACAGCCTCCCTGCACTTGCTCTGTGTCTGGAGCATCTCAGGGCTCTGACGGGGGCTCCAGCATCCACTTCCCAATGACTAGTCCCTCGAGCCCTTTCAGAAGCTCAGTGGCATCTGGGTGTTGTCCCGGTGGTGTTCCTATTAAAGCCTCCAGGACGTTCTTCTGTAGGGTGAGGATTTTCTTCTCATTTGTAGGAATTATTTTTTATATGTCGGCAGATTTTTTTGTCCTTTTTAAAAATTTATTTACTGAGATAAAATTCACGTAAAATTTGCCATTTTAATCATTTGAAAGTCAGTATTCAAAATGCTTTGCCACCATCACCACTATCCAATTATATCCACCTCCCCAAAGGAATCCCCATCGCTCTCAGTTCTCCCCCCAACCTCCTCATGGCCACGGAGCCACTTCCCGGCCCTGAGGGCCGCTGCTTCCGGCCACGTCACATGGGGGCCTCTGTGTCTGGCTTCCATTTAGCGTCACGCCCTCCAGGCCTGGCTGCGTCGCCGTGCGCGCCAGCACTTCACCCCTTTTTATGGCTGAAAAACATTCCATGCCAGCATGTCAGATACGTGTTTGCAAATGTCTCGCAGTCTGTGACTTGGCTTTTCACTTTCTTACTGGTATCTTTCGATGAACAGAAGTTCTTAATTTCAGCGTCATCCAGTTATGAATTGTTTTCTTCGTGGCTGTCTTCTGTGTCTGTGTGAAAGATCCGCCTGCCCCTGGGTTGTGAAGATGCTCTTTACTATTGTCAGTGAGCATTCTGTTGTGCTTTTCTCATTAGCTCTGCAGTCCACTCAGAAGTGAGCTTCCGTTGTGTTGGAAGTGAGGGAGTGGATGAGGATTCCTTCATTCACGTGCGTTTCTGAATGCCATGCGTTGAAAAGACCTCTTGTCCCCCTTCTATAGCGTCACTCTGTCAAAAACCAAGTAGCCATGTTTGTGCGTGCATGTGCATGTGTGTGTGCTTTGTGCATGACGTGTACCTGTGTGCATGCATGTATGTGCTTTGTGTATGGTGTGTACATGTATGCTTTGTGGTGTGTGTACGTGGTCTGCGTCTGTGTGCTTTGTGGCATGTCTTCGTGTGTGGTATGCTTTATGTGATTGTGTATGTGGGCATGCATGCATGTGCCTTATGTGTGGCATGTGTACATGTGTATGCGTTTGTGTGTGCATGCATGTGTGTACTTTGGTGTGGCATGTGGTGTGTGTATGTGTGTGTGGCATGTGCGTACATACATGTGTGCTTTGTGTGCGTGTGGTGTATATGCATGTGGTATGTGTTCGTGTGTGTCCGCTTTGTGTGTGATGTGTGTACCTGTGGTACGTGTGTGTGTGTGTGTGCACATGCCTCTCTGACTCTGTCCACCTACCCTCAGCTGCACCGTAGCTTGATCTCTGTGTTGGGCCCAGCTTTGTTCTATGCTAGGGTCATCTTGGCTCTATTCGTACTCTTTCCAGATTCCACTCGAGTGTTTAGATTCAGCTGGTCAGTTTCACACACACAGAAGTCTCTTGGCGTTCCTGTGTGTCTGTCGGCCAGGTGAGGGAGCATCCGCCGGTCTGCCGTGCTGAGCCCGTGGTGCTGTTATCTCAGTCTTTCGTCTTTCATGGGTCTCAGTGTCTTGCAGTGTCGGGTGCGGGTCTTCTTTTGGGTTGAATCCTCAGGAGGTGATGTTTTTGTTGCCGTTAAAAATCGTAGTTCTTGGCCGGGCACGGTGGCTCAAGCCTGTAATCCCAGCACTTTGGGAGGCCGAGATGGGCGGATCGCGAGGTCAGGAGATCGAGACCATCCTGGCTAACACAGTGAAACCCCGTCTCTACTAAAAAATACGAAAAACTAGCCGGGTGAGGTGGCGGGCGCCTGTGGTCCCAGCTACTTGGGAGGCTGAGACAGGAGAATGGTGGGAACCCGGGAGGCGGAGCTTGCAGTGAGCTGAGATCCGGCCACTGCACTCCAGCCCGGGCGACAGAGCGAGACTCCATCTCAAAAAAAAAAAAAAAAATCGTAGTTCTTGACAAGTTTCTTTTCTTTTCATCTGATGCTGCTATCGTCTACAATTTTACTTTCTCAAGACAAAAATCATCTTTCAGGTTGGCCGGTGTCAGCTGTGCCTCATCCACAAGGCTGCCGGAAGCCTGCGTTTCGCAGAGCTGCCATGAGGCTCCTGCGTCGTGGCTGTCCAGCCAGCACTCTGCCGTGGCCGCGAATCTGGGTTATCAGATCAGCTGCCGCAGACATGCCAATGCTTCCCTCTGGCTTCGTGCCCGCCTAGTTCCGTTGCTTGTCGCCCTGTTGCTTTCTCTCTGCTTTGAGGCTGGTAGTGGGAATGCGTTTCTAACACTACCACCAGGCTATGCTGATTCAAGGTAAAGGAAAACATATCACAAATATTTAAAACAATTGAAAAATATTCTCATTCAAAAATTTCAGTGCAATCTGTATGGATATTTGTTTCAAATATTTTTAAATAATTTTTTCCCCCAGTAAGGTTAATTCAACTAATAGCAGCCTCTACATGTCAACCTCTGAGACCCAGCAGAGGCCCCAGGACCACTCTCCATTTGCGCAGCTGCTGTGTTTTCTTGTGGTGGCTCTGCTGGGTCTCGGGGCATCCTTGGGATGGGGGTGACCCTGGTGCACTGTGGGGTCTCGTGTAAAGCTCAGTCCTGCCTCTCTCAGGTCACGGAGCTGCTGGACGTCTCCATGGAGCTGGGCTGTTTCCTGGCCGGAGCGCTGGTCTCCTCTCAGGGCCCCATGGTCACCGAGGAAATCGCCGCCTCCATTGAACCCATCCGCGACTTCCTGGCCATCGTTTTCTTCGCCTCAATAGGTAATCTTCCTTCTTTACATTATAATTGTGGGGGTTAAACACATGCAGAGTGGTTCTGTAATGTGTTTATGTGCATATATATTTATATTTTATATAGCAAAAATGGTTGTCTTAAAAATTAAGTGTATTCAGCATATTTCAGTTTGGATTGCTAGTAGCCAGAAACTATTTTCTGCTTTATAGAGCGCAGAGAAATCTTATTTTATTATACTGTTTCTTCTGTCCCACTTTTCTTTTAGGCTCGGGGTGCCTGTGTAAGTTCGTGACACGGGTAATGAGTGTAGCAGGGCTTTGGTGTGCAGATGGTTTTGTCACCCAGGTAATGAGCATAGGACCCTCGGTAGTTTTTTAATCCTCACCCTCCTCCTCCCAGCCTCCACCTCGCACAGGCCCCAGTGTCTCTTGCTGCCGTCTTTGCGTCTACAGGTACTCGGTGTTGAGCTCCCACTTTTAAGTGAGAACATGTGGTATCTGGTGTTCTGTTCTTGGGTTAATTCATATGGAGAACAGCCTCCAGCTGCATCCGTGTTGCTGCAAAGGACGTGATTTCCTTCTGCTATGGTTATGTAACATTCCCTGACGTGTCTGTGCTGCGTTTTCTTCATCTGGTCCACTGTTGATGGACAGTGGGATCCTTGGAATTCACAGTCTGGGCCGATTCCATGTCTTTGCTGTTGTGAGAGGCGCGGTGATGAACATGTGAGTACCTGTGTCTTTATGGCAGAAGGATGTATGTTCCTTTGGATGCAGACCCAGCAGTGGGATTGCTGGGTCCAGTGGTAATTCTGTTTTCAGTTATTTGAGAAATCTCCAGACTGGTTTCTATCGCGGCTAATTTACAATCCTACCAATGGTTGTCTAAGTGTTGCCATTTCTCCACAACCTCGCCAGCGTCTGTTGCCTTTTGACTTTTTGGAATCGCCATTCTGACTGGTGTGAGATGGTATCTCATTGTGGTTTTGATTTGCGTTTCTCTAGTGACCAGAGATGTTGAGCATCATTTCCATATACGTGTTGTGTTGGCCGTGTCAATGTCTTTCGAAAAGGGTCTGTTCCTGTCCTTCCCTGTTTCCTAATGGGCTTGTTTGCTTTTTGCTTGCAGATTTGTTTAAGTTCCTGCTAGATTATAGATACAAGACCTTTGTCAGATCCATAGTTTGGAAGTATTTTCTCCCATTCGTAGGTTGTCTGCCCTGCTGAGCATTTCTTTGCTGGGCAGAAGCTCCTTAGTTTAGTTGATCTCACTTGTCAATTTTTGTTTTTGTTGCGATGGCTTTTGCAGTCTTCTTCATGAAACCTTTGCCAAGGCCGATGTTCAGAGGTTTTCTTACAGGGATTTTATAGTGTTCAGTTTTACATATAAGTTTTTATTACACCTTGACTTGATTTTGTATGTAGTGTTAGGAGGGGGTCCGGTTTCCGTGTTCTGCGTGTGGCTGGCCAGCGATCCCAGCACTGTTTGTTGAATGGGGAGGCCTGTTCTGGTGCTTGTTATCGTAGGCTTTATGGAAGAGCCGATGGCTGTGGGTGTGCGGCCTTATTTCTGGGTCCTCTACCTGTCCCGATGGCCTGTGCTTCTGTGCCAGTGCTGTGCTGTTCTGGTTGCTGTAGTCTGTGCTAGAGTTTGGAGTCAGGTGGCCTCTGCTGCCTCCAGCTTTGTTCCTTTTGCTTGGAGTTGCTTTGGCTACTCGGGCTCTTTATTCTGCAAGAGGAAGATTGTTGCCATGCGCACGATTGCTGGTCACTGCCATGCTTTATTGCCGCCGAGATGTGTGCTGTCGGTGGGCATCGAAAGCAGCCAGATCACCTTCAGGGGAGAATGCGTGTTCTCATTCCCCCTCATCACGGGCACTGGTGCCCACACAGGGCAAGTCCTGGGAGCTCAGGGTCGGCCATGGAAACTAACATGTCAGTGGCAAATTTGGAGGAAATACTAATTTTGACACAAAAAATTTAAATTGAGCATACTGAGATGGGCCCTTTGTTGGGTTCTGTGGAGCAGCCTGGAGTAGTGACTTGAAAGGGATGGAATCACAAGGGGTCTGGCGTCGGGACACGTCCCTGGCAGCTGTCCACTTGGCAGGGGTCTGAGATGCCCTGTGCTTTACAGGGGCCACAGACTCAGCACAACCTCAACAAAACTGAAAATTCAAAAGCTGATTCCGAATTTTATGTGGAAATTCAGAGGCCATAAATAGCCGAGGCAGTCCTGAAAGCAGCAGAGTTGGGAGGCTTGGGGCCCTTGTCGCAGGTGAAATAGGACCATTCAGCAGGGGCTCCGTGACCTCCTGACCCCAGTGCAGCCTTATGAGCCACTGTGTCCCGGGAGCACCTCCCCCACCCTCCCTCTGTGTGAC